GTAGAATAAGGACAGTGTCTAGTCGAACAAGTAGAATCAGAACATTGTTTAGACAAACAAGTAGATTTAGGTAGAATTCCGGTCAGACCCACAGAATATAATGTAACAGGTAGTTTAACAATCACTTGCTAGTATAGATGTTTATTTAAAATGATTCGTTAAATTATTTAGAAAATACTAAAACATATAAAACCGCTGAATTACTGAACTGTCTAACATAAGACAGAAGAAACATAGAAGATTTCGGAAAATTGTTTGCAAATATTTAGCAATTCTCAAGGTCACATTCCAAATACAATTGTAATTACAAAATAATACTTGTTTAATTATTCTCAATTAATTAAACATATGTTATTCATTTGTAACTACTTCCGAGAGCATAAACGTTCAATTATCATTACTCACGACCGAGGATATTTTTTATTATCTGCAGATTTTGTAGAATCAACGCATTTGTTCTCGATATGACCGCCCTCAGTCGCAAGTATATCATGTTAAACGTTATCCACAGCAGTCAAGCATATCTTGGAGGCGCAACACAGTATAATTAAGTACCATGATACACACTACGTAAATTACTACCTTCAGCAATTTAAATTACCATGCACAACACATGAAAATTTTATATTACTCATGCCGGGATCGTTAATTAATTATTACTACCTGTAAATTTTATCTTCACGCGCAAAATTTCGTTTGGTTATCTAGTTTACGATTCGAAGGACATTTACGGTTATTGTCATGCTTTATAGACTATAAATCATTCGCGAAACAACACTTTATTGCATACGAAATACTAATGACGAGGGATTATTTTCGTTCGCATATGGTTGGCAGCATCTACCGCGATATAACTTTTATGTCGCGTCCGTCCGCGTGGATTTCTCTTTCGAATCCGCCTGGAGTTGTAAATTCCAGGCTCGACCGTCGTGGTACGCGTCCGGTTGCGAACTGTTGCCCGCCAAATTAATATTAGGCAACTGTTTCAATTTCTTAGTGAGAAAAACAAATAATTGCTCGACCGTTGGAGCTGGCGAATCGTGATGCGAATGTTGTCGAATGATTGTTCGATTGCGAGTTAATGCGAATGAATTGAGTCCGTGTGACTCTAGTCGTAACGAGTATCTTTTGCGAACGAGTGTTTGCGAACGAGTGTTTTCTATTGAATGTTTTCGACTGAATGTATCTTTTCGACTGTGTGTATCTTTTCGACTGTCTGTTCGAGTTTCGTGTGACGTCGCGCTTCCTCAAAGTTTGATGAAGGCGTGACCAAAACTCGCCTCCTTATTGGTGATGCCCTGAAGGGGAAGGCAAATTTCTCGGGTTTTTCACGCGACGCGGAGGTGGAATACCTCTCCTTCAGGGCGAAGCGGACGTCAGGAAAATATCGCGCACGTGGTCGCGGTGCGAGTTGACCGCGACGAATTTTCGAGTCTCTCAACGGTAGGGTTTTATGATTATATTGTCTGCGAGTCAGCGCGCCCCGGTAAGGCCCGGCGCGGATGGGTCCCAGGTTACCGAGCGCATGTGGCGGACTGCAGACCAAATGTTCGCTTCTTTTGTCTATTATTCTCTTTGTGTTAACGAAATTAAAATTGCAAAGGGTCGGTCTTGCAAAATATATAAATTGACTGAAAAAAAAAGGAATAAAATAATAAAAAGTAACGGTATCGTCTGACTGTATAACCGTCGTTTCGGTCTACGACGGAACATTTACATTTTCACATTTGAGACCATATACTTTCGTTTAAATCCGAGAAGTTCGGGAATAATTTAAATTTCCTTATTTTGGTGTGGTTTACAATTTGATGATAGCTTTGAGAGTCTAATTTGAAATTCTTTAAAAAGAAAATTTATCATTTCATATTTGTAGATTTAAAACCATGTGTCTTACGATAACGATTGAAAGTTTTTATTTCTAACCATTTATAGAATGCTATTTAAGAAATATTCAATATTGCAGTGTGAATGTAAAATTTCATAAAATAAATTATTGAATACCGTATATTCCATGATTAGGATATGCATTTTTTTTATTAAATAAAATATAATAAACAAATAAACCATGCGCATAGTAAGGAATGTCTAGTTGTTCTTTTAACCAGTTTTTTACAATTGAAAAGTAGAAAATCTATTCCAAGGTGTGTACTATTCATTGTAACTCGTTGTCTGATCATTGCTTACTTTTTCCACTTGCAGATTTCAACCAATTTCTAACAATTTTCTCTTTATTTCGTTTGCATGACTACAAACACTAGGAAAGCTTAAAGTGTATTTTATATCATATAGGTATACTTTCATTTATATTTTGTCTACTTATTTTTCTTTATTGTAATAAATGGACCAGAAAAGGCACTCAAAGGACTCATGATCAATGAAAAAAAAAGTATATGTATGTATATAACAACTAAATCAAAATTGTGCCATCAACTAACAAACTCACCATGTTTGTTCAATGTTATCATGGTAGTTTCATTAAATCTCTGTAGAATCATTTCCCCGAAGGGTGGCTCTATTATACTGACTGGGTCATAACGTTGCTCTAGATGAAGATATAAAAAAATCGTAAAGGAAAAATGTAGGTGGTCTAATGATCATTAGCTTCTTATAACACAATTTTTTCGTAGATTCTTTAAACCTTATTGTTTTACATAAACAAGTTCCTTGACTCCTTTTAATTATAAAAAGATTTTAAGATCACACTTTCAACGTTCACCATTCCTCTGACTACCATATTTATTAACATTGTACTCACAATTTTACAGTTAACATTCTGTAAAATTACTAATTTTCTAGAGAACATGGTTCCTAACAATTTTTTCCATTCTGACATGGAACAAAGCCCTACAAGTCCAGTTATCAGAATCACTCTGCATAATTAAACAAAGTATGCATTTTACATGTATTTTTAATCAAGATAAAATAGTCTTCGCCCCATAATTCCCATTTTAACAACTGTTTTACTCTTTTCGACGAACACCACGCATTACCCTGGCGAATAACGCCATCCAACCATTTGTCAATCTCTCGCAACGTCAACAGAGCGCCAGCAATCACGTGTAAACGTAAAAGAAGGCACTGCTGCACGCATAGTTGACGCGTTCGCCCGATCATTTTTCAACGCGTATCTAAAGAATCTGCACCACAATTTATGGTGCTTGGTGGATGTTCGTCCTATTTGGGAGTCATTTTAGTTAATTTTCTTATGAGAGTGAGTCAAAAACGTTCTATTTCAATTTTTCCTTCATTTTATTTCATTCTCTTCTACACATATTGGTTACACTATTTGGGTACTCGTTCGTAGTGATCGAGCCACTGTGTTTTTGCCGGACGTGTTGCCTGGATACGAACGCATTCGAACAGCCAACTTCCGGCTATAAGTTAAGTCTTGATGTGCCGCGTGGATGCAACTTATGTTCGACGCGACGACCAAAGCAACTCGCGAGACTTTACGGCAGGTAATTATCTACAGAATGTGAACGTGTACGCTTAATAACGCGCGGTGTTGTCCCACAAATTTGAAAAATTTCTGTCGCTTGTGTTATGACGTTGTTGATATTCGATCGATGATTTAGAATTGTGGGAAATGTCGGGCGACCAGGGGGAATATACGGTACTGGAAAGGAGCAACAATAAAGACAAATAACACCGGATCGGGACGTGTCGTTCCATAAATAATTTTCTTTCTGGTTTATTTTTTATGGGGACACTGGTAGAAATCATTTGAAGAATGAACTCAATGTTTTGATGGTCATTGTGACAGACAAGGATAGGCAATATATGATACTGGTGTTCAATAGTGACAGTCAGTATAAATTTTTGGTACTAAATTAAGTTTGAAAATGTGTTACTTATGGGATGATCTGGTACACTGCAAATTAATGTTGCAGTAAGTACTGTTATTAGGCTGTAGATATTTATGCATATTCATATTTTTTTAAAAATAACCATAGATTGTAAAAACAGGAACAAATAGAATTTTCTAATCCCAATGATTTGTTTGCTGCGGATTCAAATAAAGTACGTGTTAAACTTGAACTTTCCATTTTATTGTGTTTACTCAGGCGTATCTGCTACAAATGCATAAAATCTACAGTGTAATTATCATACGCAGTTTTAGTGTGAACTTATGACTAATTTTAGTGGAATATTTTTATTAGTAAACTATGCTTTTTTAATCATTACGTTAGCTATACACCAGCAATACCAAAAAATAAAATAATACAAATAACTAGACAACTTCAAGTAAAAAGGTGGACAGTAATTGTACTATAAGCCACATGTATTGCAATGTATCGATCATACACTATTGATAAATATAATTTTATATCTTCTATTATTACACAATCACTTAATATTATACTAAGTACACAAAAGGAAAGCTCAAACACATAAGAAGTGATTCTACATGCAAAAACAAATTGAAAACGTACAATAAAACCTTCCGACAAGCTATTACTATATATAAGTAGCTTCGTTATCAAGAAAATTGGATATGTAAACTCGTCGTCATTCACCTGTACTACCGAGCATGGCTGATTAATTTGTCAGTCCACCACTTACTGTTTCTACTGATGCAGAGCAATCGTTGATTATTTTTATAATACATAATAATGCGCAGAACCAAGACCTGACCTAGGGATGTGCCGATGAGCATGATACCTTACACACATGTCTGTTACCACATACAGTCCCATTAGTGTCAAATAAGACCGAAAAAAACGTGAGTGTCTTATAAACCTGACGAGACCAAAAATTACAAATACGGTATTTATTCATACATTAAAGTTACCAAAATGAGTTTCATTAACCAAATCGTCGTTTTTACTAATAATGTTACAAATCACAATGTTTTCATGTACGAGAAATACATTGAAGATAATGGACTTGAAAAATTTTTTAGTGCCTTTTACACCTGACTAGCAGTATAGTAAAAGCGGTGTACAAATCGCAGGGAAATCGATCGAGCGTGAAATTAGGCAAAACTTTCTTCCCATTACCTGGATGTACGGCGTGGCAGTGGTTGAGGAGCGGCAGCCAACAGAGCAGTAGCACCGCTCTCTGCATCTGAAACAAAAACCGCAGGTATTTTTCACAAGCGTGTCCCGTTTAATTACCATTCCGCGGCGCCGACCGTCTTCTAATATAATTATACACTGATTAAAATCCTGTATAAAACGGGTCGGGATCGAGGGCTCCCACGAAACGCAACGAAATCGTGGGAGCGCTAATTAGATAGAAGATCCGCGGGTCGGAGCGAAGAAGCCGACCTCGGGTATCCAGAATTCAGGAACGAGCAATTGTGCCCGTGAGTAACGTGCACGTGGCATGAGTAGTGATACGATCGACGTTAATATATATTACACTCGGGAATATTAATAAATATGGTATTTAAGGTTCGTATAATTCGGTTTAATTAGTGCTCATGAAATTTAAGTACTGGAGAAGTACTTGATGGCACTCAACTATTCTTGAAGCTCGCAATGTATCAATTTAGGGTACGAAAATGTTCTTACAAGTAGTTCGAATTGTGAAATCTTTTTCCAGGAATTTTCAACTTCATGGAGTTTGTAAATTCACGTGAAGTGTGCACGATTTCACAATTATGTACAGTGTGTTAAAAGAAAGAGTCTATGACATTAGGGACTTATACATATGTATACTCGCCGAGTGAAGTAAAAAATGTATAATTAACGTAGGTTCTAAAATAAATGAAAGCTTTCTCGAAGGAATGAATTCTTTAGTCAGTACTCAGTTCTCTTTCTCCAAAAAGAGACGTATTCGCACGGTTTGGAAATACTGATTTCTTTTGTTTGTTTACCTGTAAAAGTTGTTTGAGTACTATATAAAATTAACTTTAGTTCCGACTTGTTTCTTACTTATGTGATTTTTATATTATAGTGTCTATAAAACTTTTTATTTGATTAACCAAATATTGCTGAATTCTGATAAATCATTTAATACCAAAAAAACGCGTAATATTGTAATAAATTTAATTGATGTAATATTTACTATAATTTACTTTTAGTTTAACGAAAATGAGGTTATCGGGAAGACAAGATTGAAAATCTCGCGGTATTATAGAATTTACTTAAAAGGAACACTGAAAACGTTTGTAGGTGCAGAATTTATTTTTTGTAATTAGATTAAACTTTTTTAGGATAAAATATGCATTTCATACGGTGAAGATGCCGTTTATAATAGATTTATAAGAAATAGTTCAGTAAACATTTCTTAATGTTCTGGACAGGAAATTCTACGAGATCACCGAAAGCGTAATGAATATATTTTAAAAAATACTTATAACATTATAACATGTTAAAATTGTCGTTTTTTACTTTGAATGTTATTTGTTAATGATTACATTTAATTAAAAATTTTGTTTATATTTATTTATACATGTATTGTTTTTTAACGATGATTTTAATACAGACGCTCCATAATTGGAACAGGATCCGTAATTGGGACACATACCCTAAATTCAGACTGATGGTGATCTGTCCGTCCCTTTAACCGCTAGTGCGGACTTAGCGTAGCTTTGTAAACTACCTTCATCTGAGCTTAGTTGAAGGTTTTTGTACACTAACATAACGTAGGCGGGGGTAATCGAAAACCATGGGGACTATTTTAATGATTAATATCTTTCTGTATATTTCAAAATTTGCAGTAAAGTTTATTACGAAACAACGACATTACTTTCCGGTAGCCCTAGTAAGAAGACTATTTTTGTACACTAGCATAACCTTGGCGGGGGTAATTGAAAACCATGGGGACTATTTTAATGATTAATATCTTTCTGTATAATTCAAAATTTGCAGTAAAGTTTATCACGAAAGAACGACATTACTTTCCGGTAGCCCTAGTAAGAAGACTATTTTTGTACACTAGCATAACCTTGGCGGGGGTAATTGAAAACCATGGGGACTATTTTAATGATTAATATCTTTCTGTATAATTCAAAATTTGCAGTAAAGTTTATCACGAAAGAACGACATTACTTTCCGGTAGCCCTAGTAAGAAGACTATTTTTGTACACTAGCATAACCTTGGCGGGGGTAATTGAAAACCATGGGGACTATTTTAATGATTAATATCTTTCTGTATAATTCAAAATTTGCAGTAAAGTTTATCACGAAAGAACGACATTACTTTCCGGTAGCCCTAGTAAGAAGACTATTTTTGTACACTAGCATAACCTTGGCGGGGGTAATTGAAAACCATGGGGACTATTTTAATGATTAATACCTTTCTGTATATTTCAAAATTTGCAGTAAAGTTTATTACGAAACAACGACATTACTTTCCGGTAGCCCTAATAAAAAGACTATTTTTGTACACTAGCATAACCTTGGCGAGGGTAATCGAAAACCATGGGGAATATTTTAATGATTAATATCTTTCTGTATATTTCAAAATTTGCAGTAAAGTTTATTACGAAAGAACGACAGTACTTTCCGGAAGCCCTAGTAAAAAGACTATTTTTGTACACTAGCATAACCTTGGCGGGGGTAATCGAAAACCATG